GGGGATCCGCCCACCTCACTTATCACCTCTCCTGATTGGCTATTTGGCTTCAGCGCTCCTGTCAATACACCTGTCAGGAGCAGATTTTGGTTTGGTTTCCCAATTTCTACTACCTGTGTAGAGACAACACAGAATAACCTGAGTATAACCAGAGTAACCTATTGGTTACCATTACAGAGCAATATAAGGATCATTTAGAGACTATTTACAGGACTAAAAACACATTAATGTATTTAGAGAAAAAAGGAAGACACCATAAATTATTGTGATTTTTCAGGGACGCTTATTATTTACTTCATCTGTTTGTATATTGAATGTAGACTGACAGAAAAGTTTCCCGTGGTGCCAACAGGGTCAGCCTCTGCAAATATCGGCAACTAGAAGGCACAGCATATAAACTTTGATGATGCTCATCTAATGGAGCTGCAGTGAAGGGAATGGCGCCAGCAGTATACCATTTTCAGGGCCGCTCATTTTACAAGCCGGTGTACCCCATTCCGCTCTCTGGCTTCGTTTGTGGACTGATGTGAAAGTATGAAACCCGGCTGGGAAATCAGCGAGGACAAAAAGATCTTGATTTGTGACCCATGTAAGGCGAAAACCTCGGACATAAACTGGCTCTATTACCAAAATGACTCCACAGTTTAAGCAGCAAAGGTGCAGAAGGACCGAAAATGATCCTTCACGTCCCCACAGTGCCAAGGAGGAGGTTCATTTAGTGTCCTCTGCTGCTCTCTAGGGGAATTTATGGAGAAAGACTGAGCCTTTTTTTCTGTAGCTTGCATGAATTATAAAGTTCTTAAGGGACATAAAATAACATTTGGGCTTGTATTTTTCACTACTATTATACTCATGACAATGGGAATTCAACCAAAAAGCCTCGTGATTACTTTAAAGCCCAGTTAACGCAGGTAAGAGACTTAATGAAAATGATTTGGTTGGTGTCAGAAAGGGGAAGGGTTATGTATTTTCTGTTTTTTTGTTAAAGGCAGGGTACTCTTTTTTGATTAGCATTCAAATGGCCATTTATTGTTTCCCTCCTTTGTATCAAGAAAAAAACAACAGAACAGGGTTTGACTTTAATCAGTATTTGTTTTTAGATTAATGTTTCTTTCTCTGCAAATCAAGAAAATACCTACAAATAAATGAACCTGAGGGAAATCTAGTACACTGGCTGCCAGTTTACACGCCACAGTACATTATAAGAGATACATGAAAACATTTATTTGAGCTATGGGATTAGTCACATGTACACACACACACACACACACAGACAGACACCAGCACAGACAGACTCACTGGGTGGCAGCAAAACGCAGAGCAGCCTTGAGAATACTAATGAACTGTCACTCTGTTTCCGTACAGAAATATGCAGATATTCAATTAGTGAGGTGCATGATATTTGAGCTGATATGAGTGTGACATGAAAATGGGAGTTCTCTTTTTGTGCTTTGAAATGGGTCCCAGTGTGAGACCAGTGGCTCACACTGAAGATGGTACTACAAGTTATTCATTACAAATAATAAGTAGTGGGGAAAACGTGACTCACAGGCGTTTAATTAAAAACTTATAATGAGTCTAATGGTGTGTTATCTTACAGTGGGCCTCTGAAATGATAATAGTGCAAGTTAGAGCAAAACACATTCATATTATAGATAATTGTGTATATAAAGGTTTATTCTGTAGGGAGTTTATGCACATGGAGGTATTCTACATGATTCCATCAGGGAGTTTATTGTGATCTTATTTTGGTTTTCACTTTTAATCTCTTAGATACTTTACTGGGCTATAATATATTCCACACGGGACATGTGGTTTGAATTTATGGGGGCTTTTTACAACTCTTACTACTTCAAGTTTATTTATTGTATCTCATGTAGCTTACTATTCCCATATGTGTAACATGAGAGCAGATTAGGGGTATATATCATAAGATGACCTTTTTTTTCTCTGAATGACTCCCTGGATTCATTAAGACTGGCACTAATTTTGGCGTCTGACTTTGTTTTGTCCCCTGTGAGCAGCTCCACGCTGTAAGCAGCAGGACAAGGGGATCAGATGACAGGCAGAGCGTCTATGATTAGGGCTGCAGTGAGGGAAGGAGGCTGCCACTGCGGAAGGTCAAGGGGCTTTCACGCACAGTTCTCTTTGACCGCACACCGCGGGCCACTTTTGATTAAACTGTAACGTTGTGGTGAATCAGTGGCTTTGGCTTGAATACTGAAGGAAGAATTGAATATGTGCAGTTGATCTCCAGGGAGTGAGCACAGTGTGTAAAACGTCTTGGAGTTGGTATTCAGCATGGCTCTGGAGAGCGCGTCACTCCTGAAAGCAGGGCTTATGCTGCTGATGGCAGGTGAGTGTTTATGGTAGTGAGTCCACAAGTTCTTCTGGAGGCTTAAACTTAACATGTCTGATCTGTTTTTCTAGGGGAAATGATTTTGGGATATTTGGAATTTTTATGTCTGTGTATGTGTGTGTGCATACAGTATAGCTTGAAACATAAATACTATCATACATTTCCGAGATAACTGAGTTCATAGCAATCCAATATCTTTTGTTCATTTTTTTTGTTCTCCATTGTTGGTTGTTTTATTCTATTCATTCATTTGTTCCTTTTGATTAGTTCAAACTGTGAAATTCACAAACATAAACAATTCTGACACTAAACCGTGCCTTTAAATTTTATATGGTTTTAGTCTAAGATGTAGAAAGTATTCAGGTTGTTTACTTAAGTCAGAGTTTAAGTATCACACTAAAAATACAAAGTGATGCATTCACCTTTACTTGAGTAAAATACTTGTGTATTATAAGCAATCTAAAGTAAAAGTACTCAATGCAGAAAACTGGTTTCTTTGTCATACTATTATTTATTATTATTGATTATTATTAATAATGCATTTGGTGGAGTTGCAGCTGATTATTATGTGTTGCATGTAAACTCTTAATTTGTAAACTAACAATATTTGCCTCTGAAATGTAGCGGAGTGCAAGTGCAGCTTGTTGCAATGTGGATGTTCAACAGGTAACAAGGAAGGCTTATATTTAGCTGCTAAAAACGCTTATAACATGTAGAGAAACCTATTAATTGTGTTGTTTGGCATTAAAATATCCTGATTCTCTCAATGGGGACTGTGGACCAAAACAATAACACATTTTTTAGGGTAGTCTTACATGTGAAAGTGCTTTAATGCCCTCCTCTGGGCTTTACTTTCACCCCTACGTGAATAGGAGAAAATTATGCTCTCATGCTGAGCAGCACAGCAGCTGGCTAGACATGAGTGACATCTGAGGTAGATGGATCAAGGCATGTTCGAGCATCAGTTTTTAAAATCCATAACTACCGAGGCCTAGAATGGCAGGCAGAAGTCAAGATTCCGGCTACTCAAAATATGGAAAACTTGAAGGCAGCGAGTCAATAAAGTGCAATCCTACAGCAAGCAGCGCTGTAGCATCTGTCAGGGTTTGCTTTGATTTTCCTGGAAAATGGAATGTGAATACAATGCTGGTTAGCGGCCAAGTTAGAAGGCATGTTTGAACGCCTGAATGTCAGATTTCTCTATGAACAGTTGCCAACAATCAGACAGACAGGTGAAACATAGCATCCTTGCAATTCTGTGGGTGATGCACAAGCTAATAGACACACAGTTACCATTTATACGATCAGTTTTTGCACGCGTTTGATGATTTTTCCCCTCACTTTATTTTTTTTTCATTGAAGCACCTGTTCGACCATTCAGTGGCTCGACCATTTCTCACAATCTTCTTTCAGTAGCATCTCTTTTACGAAATCCCCGTGTCAACACATTCAGTCTTCCTTTGAGTGTTTCAGAGCCTCGAGAGCCAGCTGAGACAGAGCAAACATAATGGGCACACAGTTGGCCCTTATCAGGCCGGCGCAGACTGAGATCCACCATGCTTCTCGATCGTAACAACAACCTGTCCACGCGGGCCTTTCCCGCCAGCTTAAGCTCCCTCTCCTGCTGTACTGCTCAGTGGTGTTACATTCAGCTCCGAGTCCTACGGGACGGCTGCGGTCTGCCTCCACGTTAAGAGGCTGTTTGCATACATCTCTGAAGTAAACAAATGGGATTGGGACTAAGGCTGCAAATTAAAATCTTTTCTTAGTGAAAGTAACAGCCTAATAGGGAAGAAAATGGCCCGCTAGGAATAACTATTGCCAGGACATGACCTTGTTTGTTGCACTAACATATTCATAATTATCAAGAACTGAACACACAGCAAATAACCTCTGTTGTGCTTTGTAAAATCGTTTGTATCTTCACAATGTTTTTTCACAATGGTGCAAAGTTTTGCTCCCCCACTCACTGAAATAAAGTGATCACCAGGTTGCAGTGAGCTCACATGACCTGAATCCATTCTCATTCTCATTTATGACTTGATTACATTTTCTTTCATTTTTTTCCTCTTTTGTGCATTAGCTCAAGTCCTTCCATCAGCGTACGGCTGCGACAGGGCTTTCTACGAGAGGGTGATCAATGATTTCTGCATAGCTAAGTTCAAATTCGACATGGAAGGATTGGACCGAGGCCTGTGGTGCAGCTGGCCAGACACCATGGAGTGAGTTCACCTGCTGTGTCATGCAAAAAGAGTGGGTAAAGCCATAAAAATAGGTTACCAACAGGATAAAAAACAGTCTCCTTGTATAGTTTAGTCTGAGGAATTTATTTGACGGCAAAAGGACAGAGTTAGATTTGGTAGAAATGGCTCTATTTTTGTGAGTATTGTTTGATGGATGATGAAAATGAATTTTCTAATCAACACATACATGCCAAAAGCTGAATAGCTGGAGGATGAGGCAGCAAAAGCCTAAATAAAGTGCCAGTCAGCTAATGTGAGCACAACTGAACAATGCTTCATTTGATTCCTACTCAGAACATGTAAATATAGATGGTCAGAGAACCAAATCTTGGAGATTATTAAGTACATTTTATCATTTTATTTTATCGGCCTTGTCTACCTCTATGTTTTTGGTATTTAGATAGGATGAGTCAGACAGGAGGATGAAAAGGAGGGTAAGAGGAGCTGGGTGGCTCACAGGAGAAGCTACTGTCAAAACTATGATTTCCCACCTGGCCCACACTGTCCTCTCTCTTGGTCCAGCACATAATTGGTGGTGGTGCTCTTCGTGTGTGTGTTTGTGTCTCAGTGCGCAGTTGTAACTGCAGAGAGTTGGCACTTGCGTCAGGAAACTCCTAGCAACAATGTTTGACGGCATTGATAAGGTCCACTGGGGGAGCCGCCTGTGCAACAGATAAATAGACCATGCAGAATAAGAAATTAGAAATACATAAATAAGGCTTGTGTGTGGGTGCAGACCAATTTAGTGCTTTTGAAAATAAAAGTCTAATAAGTAGGATTTGTTTTGGAGGTATAATGTAACACAGCGGGCTTAAAGCAACACTAGATAACTTTCTGAAGAATAAATAGAACTATCTTTCTCCCACAAATGAAAAGCTGTGAAGTAATAAAATGCTCCCTTTTTTTGCCTGACTTGTTCTGGTATGACCAGGTAGCTTATGGTGGCTAATGTTAGCTAAATTTAATGTTCCATCATCCGATACTTGCCACTTGTGTGGCTGCAACAAATTTGAAGAACTTGAATGAAATTCCTTGAATGGCCACTTGAGGCTGGCTCCAGAAGTGAGTCAATCTCCATAAGACCTAATATTAAAATGCCCGACTTTACAGCAGAAATAAACATGTTTACCTGTTGTTTGTTTTTCACAAACGACGGTTTTGGTAGCTTATTTCCCTGCCAAGATGGCGACGTCCAGCGCTGACCACACTGAGCTTTCCCATGCTTAATTATACAGTCTATGATAATGTGTGATTATTCATAAATAACCACACATCTTGAAGCTAAAAACCCTCCAACCCATGGAGAGCTTTGTTTTTGTATATACTTTTCCAACGTGTAACTCAGCCATGTTGTCACTCAGGTAAGAGCCAAACATAACATACACAGGGATAAATGTGGAAATGCCAATTCTAGGTATCCCTACATGCCATCCAGCGCCACAAATCAGTTCCAAGTTCATCAGAGTCCAAACAACATTGTCTGATAAGTGGAAGAGAAACAGGTCTCATTATTTATGAAACTGACATAGTTTTGAGTCTTTGAAAGTGAAACTAAAGGCTTTCATAAGCATGAATCCCAAAGTAGTGCAGATCCAGTGCATTGTTACTGGAGGTTGCTCAGATATCCAGTGATATAATCCAAATTACCAAATATTGAGGCAAAATATACTATACTAGTTTTTTTCTAGTATTTCAGTTCAGTGAAGAACATCAGACTGCTTGTAATGATATCCAAATACACAGTGAGTCCCACTTTCACTTTATTACTCAGTAGTTCAACTGAATACACCACACAGAATCTCAGCCGCAGTCATCTATACAATAGATTTTTAGATCTATCACTCTTCTCTCAGAGATTCTCCGACTGCTCTGTACCCTCTAGTTATTCTGCTGATCATGTACTTACTTCTGCAACAGAAAATAAACAACCCCTGCGGGTTTGACGACTGAGCAAAAATTCAGAGCCAGGGGTTATCTGAAAAACTGGGAGTCAGGCATGCTAATCTTGTTTTGTTTGGTTTATGAAATGATGATCAAAGTTATTCTTTATCTTTATCTGTCCATGTTGTCTGCTACGAAACCCTCAAACTTCATTGTCAGCCTCCATAGCATTTGACTGATGATTGTGAGTCATTGCCACTGAGAAGCTGTTTTATAAATAATGCAAATGAACCTCTGTTGAAGGTTTTTTATGATTTCTGTCCAATTAACACTTGAGATTTTATTGCCAGACCCAATTTTGCAGTCAGATTAATACAATCTTATATCATAGAATTTGTTAGTCACCAAAACTGTTAATTGGGAATGTGTGTGTGTGTGTGTGTGTGTGTGTGGGCGCAAATACTGTGTGTGTTTGCAGCTTCACTCCAAGACTTGCTTGTTAGTTAAAAAACACATTTTTAAAAAGAACAAGAGTCAACAAGTGTCTTTCCAAGGGGCAACATCCGTGGAGGTGGAACAAAGCCAAGACGGAAGTAACAAAAACTGCATTTCCTCGAACGGCCATTTGAAGCTGGATACAGGAGTGAGTCTAGCTCCTTAAGGCCGCGTTTTAAAACGCCCCAACTTTACAGTAGAAATAAATGTTTACAGTCTGGTACAAAAAAACATAGCTTTTCTTTAGCTAAATTCACCTGTATGGGGGTTGATTTTTTATATAACTCAGCCGTTTAAATTATATTAAGGGTTAGAATTACGCATAATTAAGAGTAACAGGTGGGTGCTGTCACAGGCGGCTGTTTTCAGTAACCAGGCTTCATTCGGCCCTCCTCAGCTCCAACCACGCTCCACATCTTTGCCCATTTTTGGATTAGCCGTCAGCCAGCGGAGTCGGGTTTGCCAAGATGGCGACAGCCAGTGCCGAGCACCCTGGGCTTCGCAACGGTTCTTCAAAAACCTATGGGCTCCATTCTCAATTATACAGTCAATGCTTCATTTACGCACTGTATTGTTCAGCACTATAAAAACACTCCATCCCCTCTTGACTCTCACCTTTAGTCCAAAACACTTTCACTGAGCTCAACACACATATTTGTATTAACATGCCTGTGAGAATCTCTTAACGCTAACCTTAAACCTTTTCCCAAGTCCAAATCTTAATCATTAACCAAAAGCTTGAGTCTTAATCCTAAACTATCATCAACTTCAACCCCTTCCTTTAAACCTAATCCTGAGTCTAGCTGCAACACTAGCTCCCAGTGATGATAGTTGGCTCTTTCCACCGGCACTTTGAAATGCAATCACATACACACACACATAAAACCACTACATACCAATCATGTACTTCATGCTTTTATCCAAAGTGCCTGACAGTGAGTCATATAGCATCTATAATAAAATCTCCCATTTTCTCCCTATTTAATAATTAGATTTTTCATTGAAACGTCTTTTATTCATGCCAAATCTAGATGTAATACCTTTAATAGCCCCGTTGATATCAAGCTTACATGGTGCATTTTCTCTTACATGGTGCATTTAATTCAAACTAATGAACTTATAATCACGTCAATCACGTGGGGAAACACAGGGAGCTCTCTTTTTGCAGCCTTGCTTTTCTTATAAAGTGCTATAAATGACTTGAAGGGACTGCCTCATTCTCTTACAAAAAATACAACACAGAGCTGCATTCTGGGCCTCATATTGTTTGACCCATTATTGAAAATAATAACAGGAAATAACACACTAGCCCATCAAAAAAAATATATATTTATGATGAACATTAAAGTTGGGTGGACTTTTCCTTTAAGGGGCTTTATGATCACTTGCCCAGTTGGCCTCCAGCTATGCAGTTAAACACAGTGGCCATCCGGAACAGAATCTGTCCTGGTATGGGGCAATGCTGGACTGAGGGCGCTGTCCTGTTGGTATGCATCTCTATTTCCCCTGCCCTCTACCTCCTAGCAGTTATATTTAGCTGTGTTAAGCTCACTGGTAATTCCAGACACTCCTTTGCCTTTTTTCCTACCAACAGGAGTCCCTGGTCTCACTCTGAAAGGACGTTTCAAAGACACTGCGAGAGACTATTTCAGTTTGAAGAGTTTATTTGTCTATAAGTCTGTAGCTGGGAACAGTGAGAATGCTACTTTAAGTTAATCATGGGTTCATGACACTGTTTGTCCCAGCATGTGAGAGTTGTTTCCTCAGTGAATCATTTAGGTGGGTTTGACTGTGTGTTGTCGCCCTCTGCAGGATCTATGAGGGACTAACAAACTGCACCTACCAGGTGGCACTGAGGGTCGACTGCTTCTGGCCAAATCAGATAGTCGACCACTTCTTCATGCAGATTCACCGCATCTACTTCCACGACTGCGCTCTGACTGGCCGCCTCATCCACGACCCACCCACCAGCATCCTTGCCCCGTTCATCGCAGTGCCAGTACTGATCACCCTGCTCATGACTGCCCTGGTGGTGTGGAGAAGTAAACGCACAGAGGGGGTTTTATAGAGACTGGATTTGGACTTTTGTAAATATACACGGACTCCTGAAAGGCAGAGACTGGGCATGTGATAAAAGATTTTGCTGGTGTTTTTGCATAATGTTTTAATTTTATGTACTTATTGTCCTGAAATTGTGTTATTCCCATATTAATATGTTTATGGACGGTGCCGTAAAACAAGAATGTCTGCTTGAAAACTGCTAGACTGCAGCAGACGCTGACCTTAATACACTAATATGTAATAAATGCTGTATTTGGTATAAAAATAGAATTCATCTGTGCAGTTATTTTTAGTGGATAACACCACCAATAGTTTGTCAGGGGAAAGTAACAAAGGATTCAGGGGATTTGAGGGGCCATGCATGTTAATGACCATCTGTTCTCATGGCCCCCAAACAATCTGTGAGCACATAAATAACACTCAGGGAGACACCAGTGACTTGGATAAGTTAATGTTATAAATCTGGAAGAAAGGTGAAGAGACAGAAAAGCAGAGCAGAAAACGAAGAAAAGATGACTGAAGAAATCACAATGCTGATTTTATTCCCATCTCATTTGCATAGTTGCATACATTTTGGAGAAAACCAAATGGTGCCTGGATTAAATTTCCATGAACATAGTGATGATTAGTTCATATTCAACGCATCTACAGTATAATAATCCAACTTTCTTCAAATCAAATATCTGCGTATCTTCTTATGAATGTGAGAGACTAATGGCTTGTTTTCAGTGCAGTGCACTTCAATGTAGGGACATTCTGGAAGAAAGTGGATTTCTCTCACTTTAGTAAAAGTTCATTTGAGAAAAGTACTATTTTAAGACTGTAAATAAGGCTCAAGTGGACTTCAACTGGATACTCATCATCACCGTATGAGAGGGCTCCATCTAGTGTTCATTCCAGAGGTCAACATCCATAAGCCTGAATCTGATTTAACTGCAGGTTTATTACAAAAATTGTTAGTATCCATTTTAGAAAATATATTTTTATAAAAAAACATAATGAAGATAAGACATGTTTGTTTTAAAATCAGGCTATATAGATCCAACTTTACATTTCAAGAGATTCCCAATATAATATATTTGTATACACCTGGATTTCTACAGCTGTGTCTTCCAATCTGGGGATTGAGACCCCCAAGAGCTTTCTCAAGATAAATCTGCATTTCCACAACAAAAAAAAAACTGTGGTTTATTTAGACTTTTTGTTGAGTCATTTTAGCTTTTTGGGTGTTAAAAAACACAAGGTATTTATGGCTGAGCTGGTCACAACTGGCCAAATTAGACATTGGTTTGTTTTGCAAAAACAGTTGAGAAACACATGGTGTACAGGATCCAGACAGAATGATCAAGGTTTGCATGCCAGCCAATAGAAATACTTCACTACCAATGTAACTTCTGTGTCAGGAGAAGACGCCTTCATGGCAGACAGCAACCTGAGATGGAAGACAAGAGACAGAGTGGTTCATTGGATCTAAAATGAGTTAATGGATGGACTAATGGACCAATATTATACGTTATTTGCAAAATAGTTGAGGAAATAAAGTAGTAAATGAACAAAAAAACTCAAATAACTCTCCTCCCTTCAGACCACACAAGACAAAACACAGGTCAACTCTTTCCAGAGACAGACAGCAGAACTGTGTGCAAATCTCCCCAAACTGTGATAGTAATTAAATACAATGTCATACTTTTTTTTATCCATGTAAAAGTTATGGCTCAGCACTTCCCCTCCATATAATTTGCTTGCTGGGCTATTCTGTTCTGTCAGTGGCAGGGGAATTAATGGTGGTTATATTATCAAAGCAGTAAAGCCTTCAAAAGTTAAGCTTAGTCAAGCAATGTTTGGCTTTTCTGATTAATGCCCAAGACTGTGACAGTATTCAAAGCCAAATTTCAGCAGTTTTTGATAATGATAAATTAATTTAGGTGGAGATTAGGAGATGCGTTGAACGAGGAGACGTTCAACGCTAAGCGAGTGGAGGTAAGAGCCCAGGGCCAGAGGTTAATGATTAGAATGTGGATGAGTTGGAGGTTAATATCTTACTTGTTCCTGATGTCATTAGAAAGACGTTCAGCCTCAGCGGGGTCCACTTGTTGCAGTTTCTGATAGCTGGAGAAGGTCTCCACCATGCCAATGTACCCAGTCAGTGGCACAATCTTTTTTACATGGAGACACTCATTCCTGAACACAAAAGGACATCGAATGACAGATAACTCCCAGCTTAAAGTGCATATATGTGTATTTATTCCACCAAGTTTTACTTTGATATAACTGATTAATCATTAAGCACAGTGCAGTCTGCTACATTTGAGCAATGTAACTTGTTCAGATAGAGTTGGATATAAGTAAAGTCTCACTCACCAATCTTTTTCTGGATATGGGCAGGAGTCAAACATGTCTGCGTAGATCTTCACAGAGCTTGATCCTATGTAAGGATTTCGGAAAGGAAGCAGGGCAGCATAAAACTATTAAAAGAAAACAAAGAAAAGCAGGTTTTAATTACCAACTAACTTTGCATAGGCCAATGCAATTTGAAAAATACCTTACAGAAAATGTTTCTTGTTTGGGATAAATCATTAAAATTTACATAATACAACTGAACACAATGGGTTTATATGCTTCTTTCCAATTGTTTTTCTACTTGATTTGCTGTGCTTTAAATTTTAAGTGGTATTTCTGTCTAACGATATATATGACATGGCAAGGACTAGTATGTCACTTATACTGCCAGTGTAAGGGGTTTAATTACCACTTACACGCAAATGTTATCGGACCAAATGAATCAAATTATGATAGTAAAACATTGTCATTTTGTGAGGGGTTAAAACGCTCCAAAAATGTATCCACCATTTTACAGCCGGGGCCTGTGTGCATTGTAATTACATGATTTGGCCACTATGTTAATTGTCTTAAATTGTCTGGCACTCTTCCTAGGGACTCGTTAGTTCACGTCACGGATGACAACAGGTGAAAAGTCATTGTTTGACATAAAACTCATTCATTTTCAGTCATTTTTATTTATAGCCATATTATTTTAAATTGTTGAATGTTCTGTATGAGGGGCACTGGCAGGCCTTCTCGTAAAAACTTGGCAAATGAAATGGATTTTGAATGTACCTCTTTACAGATGTCATTGAGCGTGTTGGAGACGTCCCCATACTCCAGCTCCATGTCCATGGTGTAGCTCAGGAGAGCCAGGCAGCCTCCAGGCCTCAGCACCCTGTCAGCTTCCAGGAGGAACTTCTGGCGGTCGAACCAGTGGGCCGCTGTCATAGCCGTCACAAGGTCCACTTCACCGGAAGCAAACGGTAACTCTTCTGCCGGACACTGCCTAGGTTTGAAGAACAATGTTGGAGAAAGGAAAGGAGAAGGGGGGGCTTAGTATGAGCAAGTTTTCAGTGGCTCGGGCTGGAAAATGTTTCTTGGCCAGCAACCGTTGAGTTCTGGTCATTGCATAAAGGAAAAAATAATAATACAGTTTATTAAATACCTTCCAAAGCTCCAAGGACACTAACGGCTTTTTGTCAACTCCTGGAAAACGTGAAAGGCCCTATATACAGACAGTGTTTGTTTGCCCGTTTTGGTCTACTGTATAGAATATGGCTCATTTGGAGGTTACGCAAACACAATAATTCTTATTTTTAGGCCATTAAACACTAATCAAAACATATTTATGAATATTTCTACCAATAGAGCCTTCTAATTGTAACACTCTGGACCATACAGTAACCTTTTGGAGGAGAGACTTTTACTTTGTATTGCTGCTTTTACTCAAGTAAAATATCAGAATACTTCTTCCACCACTGTGCAC